TGCATGAGGTAGGTATAAAAGCAGTACTGTATGGGGATACTGAATAGCAAGGCTAAGGATAAATCTGAAGACTTGTGGTCCTGTAGAACATAGATTTTAAAAGCAAATGTTAAGGGCTAATGCAAAACCTGTCAAAGTCAGCAGAAAAACCACATATAAGCATCACGGGGCTTTGGATTAGGCTGAAAGCAACAAGAAGCATTTACTATGGCCTCTACCTTTAGCATAAGTCAGTAAAAACAATTGCCTTCAGTTTAGATTGCTTTTCCAAAACAAAATTAGCAGACTCAATTTAAAATACAAGCAGAAAGGTTTGCAGCACAAGATGTGTATAAATATAAAGTTTATTCAGTATAGTGTTTAGAAAAATAAGTTCACATCATCTCAGAATACAAATAAAACACTTAATTGTCCAGGCACAAACCCCTATTACAGTACAACAAACATACACACTTTAGATCTCTTTGGTTGGGTAAGTAAGCACAGAAATGTTGGATGACACGCATGGTGTACATCGCTGAACAGTGCAGTAAAGACTCCTGGTTATTCCCTCCTTTAACACACACATTCTGTATCGAATTCATCTTTGTTGTAAGGCACAAGAAACCCATATCCACCACAAACATAACTGGTTAGTTCTGGACAAATAGTACATGCAGCAAAATGAATATCCTTTGAGTATGAATCCCAACTGACAGCCAAAAGATCCCCATGCTCCTTGAGTTTAGAAACGTACAAAGGTAGTTTTAAATGATAGGAAACAAACAAGTTAGATAGAAAATATCCTTTGAGATCTATGTCTAAGAGATACAGGAAGACTTTGTGTCTCCTTTCTGGTAAAATGTCGCTATTTCATTTCCAGATTTTTAAAAATATGACTATTTTAATGACTTGAGATGCCTCATGGTCATGATAGCTGTTTGACATACACCTATTAGAGTCCTACATGCTTGTTTCCTATGAAGCAGGAGGGATGCGTTTTGCTGATTACTAATCTGCACTTTTGCCAGAAAAGCTGTGGGCCCTGGAAATCTAGAAACAGGAAAATTTCCAAGCTTTCTCCATACCTGGAGCCAAATTTTGCCCCTTGTAGCTTTATCAATGATCAACCCAGCTGCACAGGAGCTGAGGACAGAAGCTAGCTGTTGTTGCCACCTGATGGATATTGAATATTCCCAATTTGTTCAGCAGAATTTAAGGTTCTTTTACAGAAAAAGTTTCCCATCAACATGGTTAGGCAAGTAGCATTCTGTATCTAAATCACTGGGGCGGTCTTTCTGAATTCACAGGCAGGGTGAAACAGTAATGGTAAGAGGTCTAGATTTCAATAGGGTATTAATTTAGAAACCTCATTATAACAGTCTCCGTATCAGCCTGGTTAATTAATTCACTTCTGCCATTGTAAGTGGGCCAGATTCACTCATGGTGTACCTGCAGGGTCACATCATTGGCAGGACCAAACTGCTGCTGAAATCAGTGGAGCTTTTCCAATTTACAGTGGTTGATTTGCCCTAGACGTCTCCATGAACAAGCTTATTTCATGCAGCTGGTTTCATCTGCAAAGGAATGAGCATGCACATTTTAAGAATGCAATCGGCAGAATATGATATTAAATGACTCCCTGGTTCTCACTAAAAGTCTGGGTGGCATAAAAGTTATTTTAAAGTTACTAAATACAGCCTTTAAAAAACTAGTATTTTGAGGCAATTGGAAATGTTGAGGGAATCTTTCAGCAGATTTTTCCAAACACTTCTATAGAATCTGTAGGAAAAAAAATAATAGAATTCAGGAAAGTTTCCAGTAAGATTTCCAGTGGACTTGGCTTTATGTCAGTGAACACTTTACTACTTTGGATATGGCCACAGTGTAATGTCAATCTGAGTTCCACTTTTTTAAAGGAAGTTTATTAGCATCTACAAAGATTAAAGGATCCTTTATTCTCATTCACTTTAGAAGGAGAAAGAGGGATGTTTATGATTGACAGGAATATAAATACACCTTCCACTTAAACAATTGAACATCCTTTTGATGACCTTTACAAAGCTGTACAGGGGACTAAGACATACAGTGCCAATCATGTCAATGGGACTTACGCATCTAAATCTCCTACATTTCACTCAAGTTCCTCAGTTGGAAGTCAACAGAGCTATATCTATTTACAGCAGCTGAAGATCTAGCCCAAACTATTGTAAAAGGCTACATATACCATGTAATGAAAGCAGTTAGTCTGCTTGCCTGATCATAGATGTAAGGGCCATACAAGAAAGACCTATCCTTGTTTTGCAGTAGGAATAAAACTACTATTTCTGCAATGGATAGTTAAAACACTGTACTGTGCAATGACTTTTCATACTGTGCATATGTATCTGCAGAAACAATGACCACGTCCAGACAAGTGCGGCCATACAAGTGGAGCTGCACTCTAGTTGTCCCCGGGGAACCAAACATCCACACCACTTGTGGACATGGCCAATGAGGTTATAATTGAGTTATGTGGAGGGAATAACATTTATGATTTAACATTTAAAAAAGACATCACTTGATCTCTGGAAGACTAGGATAGATTGATCTTACTTTGTCCCAATCCACCACACTTTATGTATATCCTCCAATCCCACATTCTGTAGAACGGGCAACCCCCTGTCAGAAGTACCAGGCACTCTGAGATGCCTATTACTGCAACAAAGATACCATTTTCATGTCAGCCATGCTGATGAGCCATGTAACTCGGAGCCTCAGTAACATAAATAATGCAAAAAGCAAAAAGTTAACCAGCAAAGCGTATTGGTGGATCAACACAGTAATTCCTTTATAACATCTGACTGTTTCAACAGCTGAGAAAGTTCTCAAGTATGTGTTAAACTTCCCTTTACTGAAGGTTGGAGGTTTGCAAAACAAAACATTAGCCTTATTACAACTTCGAGTCATACGTGGCTCTCAACCCATGCATACAATTTCCAGTAGCGCAGTAATAATAATAATAAATGATAACATATGGTGCTTCTAACCATTAAAGAACAGAGCAAACATTAGCAAATTAATTCACAGATAATGACTATTATTGTCTTCATTTTTGGACGGGGAAACTGAGGCAGAATGGACAAGGGGCTTGCCCAAGGCTATTCAGGGTATCTGAAACATGCTTAGAGCAGTTGCTCCCAAGCTCTGACAGATTTCATAGTTTTCATAGACATTAGGGCTAGAAGGGACCTTGGAAGATCATCAAGTCCAGCCCCCTGCCCAAGAAGCAGGAAGTCAGCTAGGGTCATAGGATTGCGCACCACCAATTAAAAAAAGAATACAACCTTAAGTACCACCAACAAATTTTTGTCATATAATGCAATTATAATAAATCTATTAATGCGTACCACTGACAGGTTGTCTGCGTACCACCGATTGGAAACCGCTGGCTTAGACACTACAGAAATAGGGGCCAGAGAAGTACCTGGGAAGAGAGTCAGAGAGTCCCCAACTCCAAGCCTTGTGCTCAGATCACACCTGTGGTCACTGGGAGGTGCACAAGGGCAATCTATGGCTCTAAGTTTTATATTCAGTAATAGTGTACATTTTCAGTCACTTGTTTTTAGCAACCTCTATGCAAGCTGGGAGGTAGCCAACATGCTTCTTTAGCCCCCTATAGGTTGGAGAGCATCAGCGAGCTCCTCTTACTATAAAACCTAAACCTCATATCCCTCCCATTCTCCACTCAGGCTTGAAGTATTGATTAGAGAAGTGGTGCCCAACCTCTTGGCCCTGCAGGTAAGAGAACTGGTGTGGGCTCAGTCCACAGGCCTGACCCAGCACACAAAACCAGTCTACTGCATAGCCCCAGCCCTGTGTACTGGATCAGGCCCCCCCTGCCCTTGCCCCACATGCTGGATCATAACCTGTGCCAGATCAGGCCTACAGCCCTAGTCCCATGCACAGGACCCTGCCATTTGGCCTGCAGGGCTTGGAAATTTGGTGGTGGGGGAACGGTGGCAATGTTAATTGCTACCACTCTCCTGCTGCAAAATTTCTGGATCCATGGGAAGCCCTGTGGACCAGAGGACATGGCTCTGTGGGCTGGATCTGGCCTGCAGGCCAGAGGTTGAACACCACTAGACTAGAACAACAATCTGCAGCACAGCTCAGGGAGTCCGTGCCGGTACCAACAAGAAAGACCTGTGCGCAGTATAGTGCAAAACAACAGCGAGGAGGATGTCAGTGTCACACTCACAGCACGCTCAAAAACAGATTCCTTTGAACACTTTTGCTAGCACTCGGGACAGGACGGGACAGAGACGCACGTGTGCAGGACTGACATGCTCTCTGCTTCCTTTCCTTTAAACTGCTCTCATCCTTTACAAAGATGCTTTGCTGTGGGCCTGATGGGAAACCCGTTGAAGTCTAGGATGGAAAGGTTTTCAGTTTCAACGGGCTCTGGGCCAGGCCCCTGATGGGGAACATGACTAGGGGCTCTAGCTACTGTTTATATTCTCATTAAAATAAAAAAAAAAAGGGTCAGCAGAAGGTAGTTGGTACATCTGCATTGCTATGAAAGCTGAAGGATGTGCTGTTTCAGGTGAAGAAAAGTCCTACAGCTTAAGGGTGAAATCTGCTCCATCTGGCTAGAGCCTGGTTGTCCAGGCTGCAGGGCATAAAGAGGCCTGAGAGGTGAAATCTCTCTCCACCCAGTCACTAAACACTGCTGCTACAGCCCCTTCTAGTCATTTGGTGGGGAGAAGGGGGGATGTTGCTGTTCCAGCCCCTGATCCCAGGGGAAGACTTCACAATGTATTTGTGCGCGTATCCCAGAATCGGGGCTTGCCTGCTGGAAGAGCAGCTGAAGCCCACCCATGCTGGTTGCACGGGATATTGGGATTAGTGGATCCTTGTAAACGTAGAGCCCCCTTCCCTGGCTCAGGCCATCACAGCCTTCTGTCTGGGGCCAGAGCAGAGACCTTCTCCTCCGCAGGGGTGTTCTGCCCATGGTCCCTTCGGGAATTTCCTATGCAGAAGGCCCAGCTCGAGCTCTCTATAACACCGCAGAATTTCACCCATAATGACCAAGGAAACTACTTGTCTTACTCGGGCAAGCAGGCGCATTGAAATCAATGGAGCTACTCATGAAGGTAAGGCAGGCAGATTTGGCCCTGAGGACGGATACTTGCAGGCCAGTTTTTCCATTCTTTCTGCCGCTGTGCTTTAGTAACAAGGATATAAGGCCACTAAGAAGAAAGGCACGTAGAATTCTGTAAAAAAATACATACGACTTAACTCATTTGAAAACTACTAACAAAAACCAACCAACCAACCAACCAACTGATCACAAAGATGGGGGAAAAAAAAATGTCCCAGACTCAGATATTGGGAGATCATTTTCTAGCTTCTGTGTGATTACCATTTTACTTTTACAGTCTATCACTTGAAAACCCTACAAAAAAAGTAAAACTGTCAGAAATAACTATGTTTACTTCCTGCTCAAACAATAAAAATAAATTAAAACAGCCAGAAAACAATTTTCCTTTTCAATGCATTGTGTCTAAAGTAAAAGGGAACATAAACCATAAATAAAATCCATTGTACTAATTAAAAAAGTCTCCTTTATAATAACTGGAACAATATTTACATTCATACTGGAGTGAAAGCTTCTGAGTTGCATAATTAGAGTTTCAAATGGTCTTTCTTTTCTGCCGCACTGGCAAATGGTTAGTTATAACATTTAGAAACCTGAAAAAGTTTGATGCAAGATTTTCCCTATAAAACACAAGTCTTGCTGGAAAAAGACAGTAACAGCATTATTTGCAATTGCATTTTGCTTCTTAACCTCAAAGAGCCACATAAAAGAAGCTTATGAGGTACCGTCTAGAGTTCCTTGAAAACTTTTCAATGCCCATGGACTAGAAGTAAACAACAACAAAAAAAAGGCTGCATTGTTTCTACTTATTTTAGAGAGAGGTTTCATTTTCCTGCATGGTTTCTACCATTTTATAAAAGATCTTCCTACAGAACGTGAGGAGCGTATATTTACTTTTGAAATTACGTCATGGCGTGGAGATTTCAGTTAAACTCTCAGGGCTATATTAGTAAGCCAAACCAATACCCACTTGGTTGGTTCTTTCCCTCACGTTTCCTTTAACCTTTCTCCTTTAATCTGGAGGAAAGAGAATATTGCATGCAAACAAAGCATGGCGACCTAATTCCACTACTGTAGATTCCCGTGTACTTTACTGCAGACTATTCCAAAGCTCTTCTGTTTTGAGCTGCGTTGGTATTTTCTCTACGTGAGAAAACACCTGGTGCTTTTTACGGCCTCACGAGGAGACTTCTCTGATGAAACAAAAGCAAGAAAAAGTTACAAGTCTTGCATGTCTTCATCCATCTGAACTGTCTGGAGTTTGGCAAGCTCTTTTTTGTCCGTTTCCAGTTCTTCGCAGACAGGGTCAACCATATTACTCATAACATACTTGGATTTCGTATCCAGCATCAGTAAGTTGCTGGGCGACTTGCTCTCAGAATTTGACAAGAAGTTCTCTTTGACGTCGGGTACCGACTGCAGAACTAACCTGTGCTCTCTCACAAAATCTGGGTGAACCGATGTGGACGGATGGCTGACGCGATCTTCGGGGGGTGAAACTATTTCCCCAAGTGCAGGCTGTGCTGTAGACAATGCCATCAGATCTTGACCAGTAATGAGGGCACAGTTTTGAAGAGTTGCATAGTTAGTGTTGCTGATAGATATCACAGTAGACGTGCTTGTTACGGGTGCTGACATGGACTGGCTCTCTGAGATACCCGAGTTCAGCTCTGCAGCATTTAAAAGGGTAGGTGGAGCTAGGGGGAAGTTGTGGGGGGGAGTTACGTTGACCAGTGAGGAAGCCATGGACGGGAGGCCGCCGCCAGACACATTTTCAGAAGACATGTTTACGTTGAGTTGCGTGCTCTGACCGACTGGCATCAACTGGGAAAACACAAGGCTTCTTTCCAATCCTTCTTGCTTAACAGTCCCTATTGCCTGACCTGAATTGGGAACCGTATACACCACTGCACTGGGAGTGAGGGGGCTGAAGAAAACTTTTCCTTGCTGCACCGTTGAAGAGTCACTTGTAAAAGTACCCCCATCTGACGTACTTGGGTTTACTGAAATGTTACCTAAACCAAAAAAAAAAAAAAAAGAAGGAAAAAAAAAAAAGGAGAGAGCATAGGTTATAATCAATAGGAAGCTGTATAGCTGTTCTAATACGCACCTTCAGTCCTCTCGGCTTTAGGAAATTTTTGCTAGACACAGAGGCAGCATAGAAGCAATTTTGTTTACAACAGCGTTGAGAACATTAGGGAGGAAGGAATAAAAGCCCTGGCTGACGGGATTGTTTCTCGACCAAGAAATGGAGTCTGGTATATTAACACCTTTCAGACTTGCATTAAGGGCCAAAGAGGTTATAGCTGTGCAATCAAAATAAATACACTTTGGCCCCAACTAGTAAATCTCACTAGATCTCCATCTAAGAATAGAACCTCAAAAATCTTCTACTGAGTTCAGTTCAGCTCAGAGTTAAACTGCATGTGAAACAGTATATAAAAAGCCTGCACAAACTAAATGACTGCTGAGCTAAAGCTGTGCACGTAACCCTGCAGAAACAAGCTCGAAACAATACCTTCTGCCAGGCTAAGTACATCTGTGGATCCACCTCCCTTTGCCTGTCCACCCTTACTCCTGAGATACAGTGCTGCTCTCAGGTTGCCTCCTTCCACTGAAATATATGGCACTGCTTGTGAGTCAGGCATTATTCAAAGTGCGTAAAGGTGAAAGAATTGGACCTGAAATTGGTTATACAGCTGGTCTGGCATTAGTCGCTATTGCAATGCATGGCTATGAGCAAGATGAATCGTCACTCAGAGCCACTTCCCACTTTAAACAGCTCAAATTCTTCTCCTCTTTCAGGAAGCTGTTATTTATATATAGGCAGACAAGGTATATTATTTATATACATGCACTTTTAAGAGGCTGTAATTGTTTTAAAGACAGCTTTATTGCAACAATTTTGTTATAACACTTAAGGTGCTCACTTGGGGAACATTTGTAAAATGAGAACTGTTTATCTCCCTCCGAGTTTTATTAACCGCTATTTTCAAGGATGTTCCTGGAGTCTCATTTTTGGTTATTCATACTGTAAAAAGTATTCTGGTAAGAGAGAAAAATGAAGGGTAACAACTCAAAGCCACTGGACAACGAGACAGAAATGAATTAGAACAGCTTACCTATGATAATACGTAATACATTTCAGTATGAATACAAAATCAGTTACTACTTTCACAGTTAGAAAAGCCTTAAGCAGTATAAATATGGATTCCGATTTTTCTCTATGCAGGAATTCCCACCAGGAACTGATGAACCATCTGCCTACTCTGATGTCATCTCCCTAAAAGCAGGAAAATGTTGAATATGTCACATAATAGCTTCTACCACTTCCTAGCTTCTGTGTGCAACTGTTCTATCTATGAGAGAGAGAGAAATTCTTCCTCAGCTTTGCCGGCTGTCAGTTTATGCCTTGGAGCAGAGAGGTTAACAGCCCTTGTAATTTTATTCTTGCTCTTGTAAATGTAGATGCCATTCAAATAAAATGTCCAATCCTTTTTCAGCTCACTAAACCATTTATTCAATAATTTTCAATGACAGCAAGTTCCACATTTTAGGGTTGCATATAATTTCTTTTTATCCATTTAAAATTGTGTCGAGTTATAGCTTCCACTAAGTGTCCTTCATAAAATTTCCCTTTAATGGAAAAATAATTAACTCCCTACACACACATCACTCAAACAAGCTAAAACTCAGCACAATTTGATTTCCCTTATATTATTCATGGCTCCTGCTATTGCACAGAGGTTCATATTGAGTTTAGCCATTTTCAGAACCCCAAGACACCGGTGATTAATAAGGTACAGGTTGTGCACACAACTGATACTTTACCCCATCAAAACAACGATCTAGAACCAGGTTTGCTTTCCTGACGTTTTGTTCTGACTGCCCAGAACAATCAATCTATGTCTGCAATAAATGCTCAGACAAACTCTACAGCAGTCTTTTGGGAGGAGTTCACATACTTTGCATATGAGTCCACGATGACATGATTTTCCTAAGGCTAAAGGAACTTTTATCCAAAACATCCTCATGTTTTATATCTACCAGCAATATTTCTACTGTTTCTCTTCAGTTTATTCAGTCTTAATAATAGGATGAAAACTTACGAGCACAATTGATTGGCTCCATATGTTGTATCCATACAGTTAGTCATTTTACCTTGTGTTTTGGTTAGAAAAGAAACAGCAACCTCAAGCTGCTGGTTTTCACCTCAAGGTTGAGTATCAATATATTTTTTTAACAAAGTGGGAAAACAGGAAAGGATTTTGAGCTGCAACATACTCGCAGATTTAACACATTCCTGTAATTTTGAAGATTCATGCAGATGTTTGAGAACAGTATGAAATAGGAAAAAAGAGAGGCAACAAAAGAGTTGGCCTTCCTTTTTACTTTAGTATAAAAAAAAGGAAAAAGTTAAACAGACATAACTTCAGCCCTGAGAATCGAGCATAGCGAGTGTTACACAGCAGGGTTATAGCGAAGGGACAACGTAGCATTTTATGTACCCTGCCTGGCTGCTGCCAGAGATAGTCACCTTACCCCATGTTTTGAAAGATGAAGGGCCTGCCATTGTTTTCCCCCCAAATCTTGACTGTAACAAAGAAAACGTTTACCTTGCGAAGCTGCAACAGAAACCGGAGGCAGTTGCAGAGGCGAAAACCCGATGCTTCCATTTAGCAACTGACCATTTGTTCCTGAATTCGGGATCTGGACAATGCCATACTGGTTTATTTGGACGGGAGCAGTAAAAGTAACAACGGAGCCTCCATCTTGAGAGGCAACAGTTTGTACGCTTTCCCTTTTCACCTCTGCGCTGGGTATCAACCCCGGGAAAGAGACGGGCACATTGTTGGGACTGTACGATGTGGGTGCCTCTGCAGAGCTAGACACAGAAGCCTGGAGGATTTTGAAGTCCTTGACATCTTCGGAAGAGGATGATAATATGTCGGTGATGGACACCCCGTTGCTCACCGCACTCGAAGTGGTTTTGGGTGCGTTTAAGGTCACAGTCTGGGAAGCCCCCACGCTGAGTCCGTTGAGAATGACACCATTGGGTCCCTGAAGAAACGAGCTGCCGTTCAGGAAGACGGGAGAAGTAGTGGCAGGCACGAGGTTCCCGTTCAAGAGGACGCCAGAAGAACTTAGAGAGATTTTTGCGTTGCCGAGCTGCTGCATGTACACCGCCTCCATGGGGCTGGGGAGGCTCAGGCTGGTAACGCCGTCGGACGAGTTGGACAGCGGATGCGGAGACAGGTCCTCCTGGCCCTTGCTGGATTCATCTTCGGTGCTGGGATTGCCATCGGACTCACTGCAGGGAAAGAGGGGAAACGTGATGTTTCATGACAGCGACAGCCTCGTTGGTTTTCAACCCAAAGGGAACGCGCGTGGTGGTACCCGTGGCCCAGAGAACAGGGGGGCTGTTTCTGAATTGTGTTTTGTTTCGAAAACAGGCGCCAAGCCCATGAGGCAAGACAGAGGGGCTCTCTCTTCTCACTTCCAAAGAGCTTTGTGGGATTGCAGGCCTGCAGACACCTCCTTTCTCAGGGACAGTCTAACCCAAATCCTCCAAGGAGCTGCCCCCAGACCCACTTCTCTGCCTGCCCAGGTACCCTGAGGTGTGGCCCGTGCATGTGCAAAATCCAGCCAAGCCGGGAGCCGCCATTTGGGAAGTTGCTCTGTGCTTTGTGGCAGCTGCGAGAGGTAAAACCGGGCCAGGGAGCCCCCGTTCAGCCCTGAAAGGATCGTCTGTCTCCAGAAATAAAGCCAAGCCTGCAAAGCCCGCTGGGATCACCCGTGTGCTACGTGGAGGGTGGGTGGCAGGAAGACCCCCCCTCCACGCCCCTGGTTGTAGTCTTTGCGAGTCTAGACTACCCCGGCTTCTCCCTGGGGGGGGAAGTGCCCCCCCGGAGCCCCATGAGTCCGCAGAGCTGGGGGCATCTCTTGTGCACAACCCCCAGCCGGGCTCCGCTTCCTTCTTCTAGGTGGGGAAGCGCCGTGGAGGTTGCCAGACCTCTGTGATTTACGAGGTGAGAAGGAACCTTCCTCGCCAAGGGAGAAGGAGCTGAAGGGGGGAGGGGGCCGGCTCAGAGCCCACCTTCCCCTCCAGGTCCTCGGGAAGGAAAGGGGGGAAACCTGCCTCCGCTCCCTCCTCCTTTGTGCGACTGCAAGGGGAACCTGCCCAGGAGTTTGCCCAAACTCCCCAGGCAGCCTGCGGGCTTGGAGGGGAGGAGGGAGCTGGCGAGCAGGGGGTCGCCTCACGCTTCCCCCAGGGCCCCCGGCCGGGTTTTTGCTGACTCGGTCGCCCTTGATTGCATTTTCCCTCGGTCTCCTTTCTCTCTCTCCTCCCTCTCTCCACAGCCATTTGTCCCTTTGATGTGTCCCGAGGAGAGGGGCTGGATCAGCACAATCACGCCCTTGCTTGAGAAGTGCCTCGGGGCCTCCCCCCCTTCCTCCTCCTCCCCCTGCCCTCAGCCGGGAGAGGGAGCGGGAGGAGGAATGCGGGGCGGAGGTCACCTCCACCTGGCCCCGCTCGTTCACACGGGCAGATCCGGTGTGAAGTGCAAACCCGCCTCACCCCGCTCCAAGGGGCTGGGGGGAGGGGCGGGGCTGG